TGTGTGTGTGTGTGTGTGTGTGTGTGTGTGTGTGTGTGTGTGTGTGTGTTTCTTCTTGCTCTTTGCCTATATTGTATTTCTCAGGGCCTTCTGTGGTAGGATTGCTGAGCTCTACTGAGACACTCTAACAGACACTGTCATGTCTGTTACTATGTTTTTATGCTGGAGTCTAGGCACCTAGGATTGGGACTATTGTAATTCTAGTTGCTGATCCCTGGGTCTCATCTTTTTTGGGGGTGGATGTTTTGTTCCTTGGCTTCTGTTGCTCTCACTGGTTCTTAAACGTGTGTTGTGGCTGTATGTTGCCTGGGAGGAAACTTCTTCTAGGATTCTAATAAGTATGGCCACTGGAGGTTCCAGGTAAAATGTGTTTCTTGGGAGCTGACGCTCAGGCATGGGGATGAGCTAGGAAGTGTGGAGCTGAGAGAGTCCACAGGAGGGAGTAAAGCAGGGTGTTCACCAGGACCTGCTGGGAGTAAAGCAGAGTGAGGAGAGACCACAGCAGGTGGTCTGCTGCAGAGCTGAGGGTAAGACTTAAGTTTTGGAGGCCCTGAAGGAGAGGTGAAGATCTGCAGTTAACCTGTTTGCTTATCTTTATTTGTGTTTGTATGCTGGGCACGTGGATTTCTTTCTTTGGTTGCATGTTAATGTGAGATTCTAGGCTTCCTCAGGCTAGGAAGGACTAAAAGTTGTGCAGCTGAGGCAAGGACTGAGGATTGGAGATGGCTTGAGCAGATGAGGTTACAGGGACTCACCAGGCTATATAATGAAGATGAGCTGGAGTCCTGGGGAGTCACCACACTGGATTGGTCCATAAGCGGTGTGACCAGTGCCAAGGCTTGGAGTTGGGAATAGCACAAGTGGGACTGATCAGAATAGGCTGACGCACCCTGGAGAAGGGTGCAGATGTCCTAGGGTTCAGGGAACATACCAGACTGGACACAGGATGTAGGAAACCAGCAGTATCTGCAGGGTGTGATAGGCAGCTGGAGTTGGGGAGAAGAGGAGAGACCATAGGGAGCTTACGTGGGTCTGTATTACAATGGTGGCTGTGGGGTTCCTAGTAGCAAATGGGATTAGGTAAGCCCCAAAGGAAGGACAGAGAGGAAGAGGCTATCCATAGCAAGCAACCACTAGACTAGGGCTACCAGAATGGAAAGTAGAGAGGGAGAGTATAGGCAGCCTTCCTGGGCCCAAGCCATGTGTGCTGGCTACAAGATCCCTGGTAGCAAGCAAGACTAGGATCAGGTGAGACCCAAAGGAAGGAGACAGGCTGAGGGGAGGGCCAGGGATACCAGACACTGGAGGAGGAGATAGAAGAGCACTGGTACTCTTAAGTGTGTTGAGTACAAGGTTCCTGGTAGCAAGTAGGGCGAGGATCAGATGAGACTTTCCCTGGCAAACAGCCACTGGACCAGGGCAAACACAGTGGAATGTAGGAGGCAGGGAGGGAGAGTGCAGGTGGCTGCCACGCTGGTCTAATAATAATGCCTATCTTACTCACTAGACTGGAAAGGAAAATTGTAACAGGAAGCTTTAAGTGAATGAAGAACTTAGTAGTGGGCAACAAATAGGTCTTAGACTGACCACTGCTTTATACCTGCCTAACAGCAAAAAGGCAGAGATTAGAGATATAAACTGTTCTAAGCAATCTTACTACATCCTTAAACAAAGCTGTTGAGTTGCAGAAATAAGCACTCATCACTTGACAGAGTAACAGCCATAGATGTCTATATCTGCTCAGAGATTCTCAGACATTCACTGAGGAAAGAAAGCATGATGCATGGTGTCTCTGCTATAATCCCAGCATGAGGAGGGTGGCAGAGACAAGAGGGGAAACATGGCCTGTAAGGAAATAAATGAGCTACTGTAGAATCAACACAGATAATAGAATTAGCAGAAAAGGAAAACAAAACCATGGCTGCATTCCTCATCCTTAAAAGGTTGAGACCTGTGAAGTATAAAAAAGACCTGAATTAATGTTTTCAGATAGGGAAGCTACAACGTCTGAGATGAAAATACAGTAGACAGAATCAGACATTGCAGAGGAAGAGTCACCGTAAGATTAGTTCTCGCTCTCTATCTAGACCACTAACTTTGTTACTCCAAGAAACTGGAGGGAAATTTAATGAATGGAGTACCATTTGAGCTAGCTCAAAAGATATTTTATGTTGCAATGACTTCTTGTTAAATTATTTTATTTTTATTTCCTTGTTTTTACTTGCTGAGTAGTATTCCATTTTGTAAATATACTACAATTTCTGTATCCATTCTTCATTTGAGGGACATCTAGGTTGTTTCCAGATTCCGGGTATTATGAATAAAGCTGCTGTAAATGTAGTTGAGCAAATGTCCTGTTGTATGCACTTTTATTGAGAGAAGATTAAAATACTTTTGACAGAACTAAAATATTTTTACTTTGGAGTAGAATGTATATGTTAAGTTTTGTGTATGAAATGTTTATGTTCAAAGTGATAAAAGGTCAGAATAATGATTTGCACCTTGCCTCATAGGTGTGACATTTTATTTCCCAGATAGCCAGTAAATGAGGAAGCTGATTTATCATTTTGCATCTCTGAACATCCCTATTATACTCTGTGTATCTGCCAACGTGTGCTCTTGGCACTCCTATTATTGAAGCAGAGTCCTCTTGGCTAATGCACTGCAGCTTCGCCTGCTGTAGAAGGAAGAAGAAGAGATGTTGCCTGGTACAAACGTAAACAAACAAGGGCTGCTCTTTGTCTGTTAGCTTGTGCTGGTTAAAATAAGGTATGCTGTGAGTTAACTAGAAAGAACTTGGAAATTATTAATTTGGAGAAATCTGGAGTAGGAGTCTAGAGAGTAAATGGCGGAGTTAAGCACATTGTAGAAAACCGTTCTTTCCACTTATTGGAAGGCATACTACCTAAAAATAGGGTGTTCATTTTCCCATTTCCTAGCCACAGGGAAATTGTCTCCTTTTCAGGCAAACAGACATATAAGGAAAGAGGATTTGAAATCCCAGATATCCGAAAGTTGCTCAACCATTCAACAAGGACATTTGCTCAACTATGTTCATAGCAGCTTTCTTTGTAATAGCCAGAATCTGGAAACAACCTAGACGTCTGTCACCTGAAGAATGGATACAGAAATTGTGGTACATTGACACAGTGGAACAGTACTGAACAATTACAAATGGTGGAAACTAGAAAAGAGCATCCTGAGTGAGGTAACCCAGAAGCAGAAAGACACACATGGTATATACTCACATATAAGTTGATATTAGCCATATAATATAGGATAAACATACTAAAATCTATAGTCCTAAGGAAGGTTAAAAAACAAGGAGGACCCTAGGAAAGAGGATAAACCTCATTCAGACGGGCAAACAGGATAGACATTGGAAGTAGGAGAAGACAGGGAGCAGGACAGGTCTTCCACAGAAGACCTCTGAAAGACTCTACCCATTAGGGTATCAAAGGAAATGCTGAGACTCATAGCTAAACTTTGGGCAGAGTGCAGGGAACCTTAAGGAAGAAGAGAGATAGAAAGACCTGGAGGGGACAGGAGCTCCACAAGGAGAGCAACAGAGCCAAAATACCTGGGCCCAGTGGGCCCTGCAGAGACCGATACTCTAACCAAGACCATGCATGCAGAGGACCTACACCCCCTGCTCAGATGAAGTCCACAGGCTGCTCAGTTTACCTTTATCTTTGGGCTTCTTCTAAGGTAGCACAGCTGCTCACCTCCTGGCTGCAAAGTGAGAAGAGGATGCAGAGGGCCTGGGACCTCATTGGCCCCTCAAGGGCACACTCCAGTGACCAAAAGGCCCCCACTGGACCCAATGCAGAAAGTTTCTCCCCTTCCCATAGTGCAGCGGATGAAAGAGCCCTTACCACTTAGGCCTCTGGGGGACGGGACAAATGAGAGGTCACGGTGTGTGAGGATGTATGAGAATGCTTGATGTGCTCGCTGTCTTCACTGGGGGCTTGACTCTCCAGACTTCTGCACTGACTGTTGTAATTTCAGATACATGGAGCCTAATTATGCACCAGCAGAATTCTCTTTTTACTACATTCAAAACAATACAAATAAAACTACAAAACCTCTTTGCAGTTTTCACCAAGATACTCTTTCTTAGGCATTTCTGGCTTTTTGAGCTGCACTAGTAAGATCCGTAGGGTTAAATATTGTTCTTGGCGAGTAGACTGAACTTGGTGCAATTTTGTATTTCAGGACTCATGAATCAAGCAAGCAAACATGAAAGGTGGATAAATGCCATTGCCCCCAAAGGCACTGTAACTTTTAAACATCAGAGCTGGTTTCAGTCCCTGAAACTGAAGGACTAAGAATAGTTTCAGTTGTGTTTATGATTCTTATCGTGTACTTCCAGACTGTGAGTATAAAAATGCAGACACCAGTATTCAAAGAAACGTCAAAAACAACAGCATTGGCAGCGAATATTGGTGAAAGGTTTCAGGGGGACTATTGCCAAATGTGTACTTACCTGTAGGGTTCCTTTTCTATTGTTCCATTCTACATTACAGAAGTCCCCAAGATATGACCTACGGTGATGCCTGAAATCACAGACAGTATCAACATCTGTATACTGTGTGCTTTTTTGTTGTTGGCTTGTTTTGCTTTTTTAATAAACAGATATGCCAGCCAAAGGCCTTTATCTGACTAAACGCTTACCATTTTAGTTCCAGTAGCAAAACTGGATGCCTTTCTTTTTCCTTCTTTACAATTTCATGAACAGTACATCCACCCAGACTGTAGGGCCTACCAGCCTCAGCAAATGATTTTTTTTTTTTTTTTTTTTTGGCCTAGTAAGTGGAGATCTTTGACCTGTTTTCTTAAAGCATTTTGTGGCTTCTCTTTATCAGACCCAACTGCAAATATCACTGTCATTACACTTTAGAGCCATTACCAAGATAAGTGCTTCTTGAACACTGGGACGATAATGCTCCTGTGACGGCAGGATGGCCAGGGGGACTACCGAGTGACAGCAGGCAGGCAGTGTACACAAACAGCGTGCACAAGCTGGGCAAAGGAATGGAAGAGCATAAGGTTTCCTCATGCTGCTTCACGTGACACACAATTTAAAACTGCGTTGCTTACTTCTGGAACTTATCAACTGTGGGTTACTGAAGAAATAAAAAGCAAAACCTTGAATGGGGGCAAGAGAACACTTCTACCATAGATGTAATGACCTCAGAAAACACTCACTTATCAGTTGGTGATGCTGGCTTTTTGTTCAGTGTAGCACATAGCTGGAATAAACATGTTAGCCAGGCTTGGGTGGGGGTGCGTGGGGAGAAGTCTTCCAAGAGCATTCGTGTTATAGGGAAAATCAAACCTCTTCCGCCTGTATGATACCATTTTCTTGCTGGCTTCAGCTAACAATCACTCTTGTCTTCTAACCGTTACCACATGCCTATCTCCTTCCTCGTGTGGCCCCTCTTCAAGCAAAACATACCGAGTCCTTCCCATGCTCTGAATGTCGGATTTTCCTGAAAGCTGGTGAAATCCCTGCCTGCTTGGCCAGGATATTAACATGATTATGGGACTATCGCATCACATTCACAAAGCCCACTCAAGAGATGGTTATGGAAGGATACCAGTCTTTGGAGTCACCTTAGAATTCTTGTAACTCCCATGGGACACATTTTCTTCTTAGTATCTCCTATGGCATCATTGTCTTCAAGCTGTGAATAAAACACTTCTGGTAGTGAAGTAGGTGCTATTGATTTTGAGTGTATCCTGTGTAGGTTAGGATGTCCTCACCATGGGAAAGAACTGTTACTCTATCACGTGACGTATGAGTTCATAGAATATCCTTCATAGAGTTACTTTATGAGTTCCATTTCTTTAGAAATGCCTGCTGTAAAAACTACACTGTATTGGTTTTAGTATATAGTATATATAGTATGTAGTACAGTTTTTATACTATATATTACATATGTTGCAAAAACTATACTAGATATTAAAAACTATGCTATATTGAGCAAATCGGTTGGATTGTGTATTTTAATTTGGATAAATCAGTGATTAAACACTGATTTTAAATAAACTTTTCTAAATATTATTGATAATATTTTCTTTTTTATGAACATCCCATTTCTGTATACTCTTTCTAATTTCTTATTTTTGAAATAAAGTCAGCTTTGTTTGGTTTGTCAGTGCCTCCTTAGAATTCACTCTTAATGAAATCAGAGTTTATATAAGGTTGAATGTCTCACATGCTGGCATATTTTATGTGGTATTTGTGTGTTAAGCAAAGAAAACAGTAAGGTAATAAGGCACTTTTAATATTTTTTCACTCAGGCAATTAGAAAAATATTTTCATAACTAAAAATAAAGTTGATAAAAGTAGCTAAAATAGCCCAAAAGGTCATAAAGTAGAATTCAGCTAAGAATGCTTAAAATTATTAGTGGAATTGTACATAAGATCCTCTTTGCATAGCTGGCTTTTCTTTTTCCACCCCCCCCCCCCCCCCCCAAACACACACACACACACTTTCATTTCTGTAGTTCTGGAGTTTTATCTCCTCAGGGTGAATGAACGGGTCTCTCATTCTTGGTTTTCAAAAAGCAGGCTTTGACCATCAAGCCACCTGCTGAGTTTCAGTATAGCAGGGTATGTTTTTCCTTGGCCTTTTCTTCCCCTGCAGATGTCACCTCTTCGGAAGCCAGCTGCCCCTTTTATGTCTCCCTAGCTGTATACATGAAACACTCTGGGGTCAGACTTCTGAAGCCGACTGTCATGCAGCTGCCACAAATCTCCACGTTTAGTTAAAAGTCTGCCTGTCACCATGGTCATCTGAGGTCTTTGGCCCAGGTCTTAGAATGTGCTGTTTAACAGACCCCCCTGCTATCCACTTGGTGTCCTGGAAGCCTTTCTACCACCGATTTAAAAAACATTCAGAGAGGAAGAGGAAAATGATTTTAAAACATTTAACTGATAGTGGACACCCAATAGCATGGTGTAGAGACCCCCTTTTTAAATACTTTTAAATATCCTTTAAATTCTTTAACTTTTTTTCAAATTTGTAAGCAAAGAAGTTAACCTCATTTAAGAGGTAAGTGGCCAAGGAAATGGACAAAAGACTGATCTACTGTCACTGACACAGCGTGTGTGTGGCTGTCAGAAAACAGCTGTATTCCCTGTTAACATCTGTCAGCATCAGATACTGGTAAAGAGAATTGATTGATTGAAGAATGGTAAAACCTATGAGAAAAGCATATTAAATTAGTCTTTAAACATGAAATTAAAGGCCGGTTCTTTATAGGAGAAAATTGGAAGGTATTTTGTTTTTGTCCCTTTGGTATTTTATAGTTAAAATTCCTGTGTAGTCCAGACTTGATAGAAGCCTGAGGCATCACAGGCATGCCCTCTGGTCATATTGTTCGTGTATCTCTTTACATGGCTGCTGTTGAGTCTAGAGCTCTCCTTGTCAAATGTCTAGAAATAACAAGAAAGTTGCCTTTTGTCTTTGAAAATGTATGCCTCTTGTTATTTAAAATAAAGCTTTACAGATCCTCAGAGTTAGCGCCTTGGCTCAAAATTGGGCTGATTTCTATGGCTATCCCTGCTTTCTTTTCCTGTCTGGAGAGCAGTTTCTGCTTCTCAAAAAACCAAAAGCTGTGGAGCTACTTCCTCCATTGTGACCTTGGATCTGCTCGTCTTATCTAAACTATTTTGTTTGGAGCTAGAGAGGTGGCTTACTGGTTAGAAGTCCTTATTGGCCTTGAAGATTCAGGCTCTGGTTCTAGTACCTACAGAGTGGTTCACAGTCATGTCTAACACCAGTTTCAGAGCATCCGATACCCTCTTCTTTTGTGGGTTTCTGTGGGCCCCTGCTCATGCACTAGTACACGAATGCACACACACACAAACACACACTCATTGAATAAATAGATCTTTAAACGTAACTTGAGCAAGTTACCTTTGCAATCTTGATTAGATAAAGTGGCGTTTGTCGTTGAATAAGAAACAGACGTGCACTGCTGTTTTGCATTGTTTTTGAGAACCAGCAACTGACAGTATTTACAGCAAATGAAGGATAGCTGTCAGTTCTAGCTGTTCCCTTTCTCCTGTTTCAGTCTGGAGTCTGGACTTTCCTCATCACTGCTGAGTGTGTCTTTGAGTAGCAGATCTGAGGGATGTTTAAGTTGTTTGCTTGGAGTAGATGGAAGAGGATTGCCTTGAGAGTCATAGCCAAACCAACTTGGAGGGTCATCAGAGCTGTATTCCTGCTGCTGGACCTCAGAGGCCATTTTATTAGCTGCCACCCTGCAATCACAGTTCTCAGCATTAGAGAGGTGCACAAGTAATCCCTACAGTTTTCAAACTGGGCTCAACTCAGAACTGAAAATATAATATCACTGGTCATACTCAATTCAGAGCTCTTGCTCTGAGGGAATGTTTGGGAATTGTGCTGATAATCAGCAACCCCCCTCCCCCAGGCACAAGTCTGTGTAGGTCAGCCAACTAGGGGCTTACCAGGCAGTGAGTGGGTGAGGAAACCACATACTCAAGGATCAGGAACCCGGGAGTTATCTTCAGTGATTTTGAGTAAATGTTCAGCCTGGTGTGTTTCCAGTTTCTTTGATGAAGGAATAACCTGACCTACCCACCTTGTGAAGGTTGACATGTCAGAAAGGAGCTCTCCACCAGAGTTCACAGACCCCTGTGACATATGAGTGGACTCCAGGGAGTCCATGAACTTCTTAAAAATCTGTGTACCTTTGTCTCTAGTATACATTTTTCTTGGAAGGTTGTGACTCAAGGAGGTTCATAACCAAATGATTGAAAATATTTTTAGTCTTCCTTAGGAAGAAATAAGGAACCAAAGAGCACACACATGCACACACATGTACGTAAAACATACACACATATTTTCTCTTCTTTGATACAAAGATGCAAAAATTCTCAACAGAATACTTATAATATTATATGTACTATGATCAAGTTTGGTTTCATTGCAGGATCAGGAAGATGGTATAACATGTAAACCAATAAATGTGATACAGGGTATAAAGAGACTCAGAAATCATATGAATGTTTACTAAAATAATACATGCAGAAATGGCCTTTGACAACATCAGATATCCATGTATGATAAAGGCTCAAAAAAAAAAAACAACTAAGGATAGAAAGAGCATATCAACATTATAAGGACAATATCTGACAACGTATAACAAACACACTAACTGGGGGAAGATATTTCCTCTAAAATCAGAGATGAGAGAAGAGTGTTCGCTCTCCTCACTTTTATTCAATATCATGCTTATATTCTTAGCCAAAGCAATAAGGCAAGAAAAAGATGAAAGAAATACAAAGAGAAAAGGAGAATTCAGATTATCTATAGACAGTGTGATCATGCATTAACAGACACTAAAGACTCTTTGTGAAAACTCTTAAATCTGTTAAACACTTTCAGTAAAGTATTCAGTTACAAAAAAAATCAACATCCAAAACCCAGTAGGTTTTTTTATATACCAATAATATAGTAAGTCATTGGCATGGGAGACAACTTCCTGAACAGAACACCAACAATGCAGTCTCTAAGAGCAACAATCAACAAATGGGACCTCATGAACTTAAAAGCTTCTGTAAAGCAAAGGATACTGTCGTCAAAACAAAACAACAGCCTACAGATTGGGAAAGGATCTTCACCAACCCTATATCTGACAGAGGGCTAATATCCAGAATATATAAAGAACTCAAGAAGTTAAACAGCAACTAATCAAGCAATCCAATTTAAAAATGAGGTACAGAGCTAAACAGAGAATTCTCAATAGAGGAATATTGAATGGCAGAGAAACACTTAAAAGAAATGTTCAATGTCCTTAGACATCAGGGAAATGCAAATCAAAACGACCCTGAGATTTCACCTTACACCCATCAGAATGGCTAAGATGAATAACTCAAGTGACAATACATGCTGGAAAGGATGTGGAGAAAGGGGAACCCTCCTCCACTGCTGGTGGGAATGTAAACTTATACAACCACTTTGGAAATCAATCTGGCACTATCTCAGACAATTAGAAATAGTGCTTCCTCAAGATCCAGCTATACCACTCCTAGGCATATATCCAAAAGACACTGAAGTATACAACAAGGTCATCTGCTCAACCATGTTTACAGCAGCTTTATTTGTAATAGTCAGAAGCTGGAAACAACCCAGATGCCCCTCAGTTTAGGAATGGATACAGAAATTGTGGTACATCTACACAATGGAATATTACTCAGCGATAAAAAGCAAACAAACAAGGAAATCATGAAATGTGCAGGTAAATGGTGGGGAACTGGAAAAGATCATTCTGAGTGAGGTATGCCAGAAACAGAAAGACACACAGGGTATATACTCACTCATAAGTGGATATTAGACCTATAATATAGGATAAACATGCCAAAATCTGTACACCTAAGGAAGATTATCAGGAAGGAGGACTCTGGCTAAGATGCTCAATCCCCATTCAGAAAGGCAAAGAGGATGGACATTGGAGGAGGGAGAAAACAGGGAACAGGACAGGAGCCTACCACAGAGGGCCTCTGAAAGGCTCTACCCTGCAGGGTATCGAGGCAGATGCTGAGACTCATAGCCAAACTTTGGGCAGAGTGCAGGGAATCTTCCGAAAGAAGTGGGAGATAGTAAGACGTGGAGAGCACAGGAACTCCACAAGGACAGCAACAGATTCAAAAAGTCTGGGCACAGGAGTCTTTTCTAAAACTGATACTCCAGCCAAGGCCCACTCATGGAGATGGCCTGGAACCCCTGCACGGAGGTAGCCTATGGCAGTTCAGTGTCCAGGTGGCCTCCATAGTACTGGGGACAGGGACTGTCTCTGACGAACTGATTGGCCTGCTCTTTGGTCACCTCCCCCTGAGGCGGGGAGCAGCCTTACCACGCCACAGAGGAAGACAATGCAGCCACTCCTGATGAGACCTAAGAGACTAGGATCAGAGGGAAAGGGAGGAGGACCTCCCTTATCAGTGGACTGGGAGAGGGACAGGGGTGGGGAAGAGGAAGGGTGTGATTGGGAGGGGAGGAGGGAGGGAAGTACAGGGGGGATACAAAGTGAATAAACTGTAATTAATAAAAAAAGAAAGTAGGGAATAATCTCATTCATGATAACTGAAAAAAAAAAAAAAACGTGCACATGCGCACGCGCACACACAGCCTGCTATCTACTTCACTATGTAGCTAGAAAATGTCTACAACAAAAACTAAACTAGTAAAAAAAGGAAAAAAAGAAAAAACTAAACTAGTGAAGAAGAATGTGCCAAAACCGCTGGCATTGGCTTTGATAGAAGGACATTACAGTTAGAGACAGCAGTGAAAGGAAAAGCATGTTGAGGGAGCAAACAGCTCAAAAGCTGACCAAATTCTGTTACCTGTGGTTTCTGAAAAGCACTGGTTTTAGAGAACTGTGGATGAGGCCCAATACTCACTGCTACGTTTGGAAGTGTGGAAATAGTGGGCTGTGCAGTACAGTTCTTCAGTCAGCCACAAACCAGGCTAAATTTCATGTTCATTAATATATATATATATATATATATATATATATATATATATATATGTTTTAGATTCTATAAAAGTTGTGATGAATGCATTAGGCAATGTATTTTTTATCCACCCTGTCACGTGGCATGAGGGTCTGTAAAAACTGTGGTATCAAAGAAAATTAACAGATAGTAGGGGACCGAGAGAAGTCATAAGGAGGAAGCTGCTGCTGACTCAGTTCGGAGAAGGGAAATGGGCTTGTGGGATGCAGTGTCATGGGAGAGAGTGATAGTAAGCCAAGCATTTATCCAGGTCCACAGGGAGTGTACAGAAGGACAGGAATTTCTGTGTTTGCGCTGTTTTTTGTTGTTGTTGTTTGGTTGGTTTTTTTTTTTTGTTTGTTTTTTTTTTTTTTTTTGGCTTCCGGCCCCCCTCATCCCAGCTCTTTTACCATTTTATCCACAGGCAACTTCAGTGAAAATACACATTAGTGGGTCCGTGGCACGAATAGCAAGCAGTGAGGCTTCGAGACTGGAAGGCCCACTACCCCTGGAGCCGAAAGTCTTTGCAGGCCGGGGTGAGGGATCTGTTTACTCAGTGTTTTCTGAAGCCTCAGGGATGTGAACCAAGTACAGGACATTTCAGCAGTGGGGCTAAGTGGTAGGGGCAGAACTAACTTTGCACAGAGAGGAAGGTGCTAACAGTAAAAGGCTTCTGCGAAAGGAATATAAAACCAAGAAGTTCATTTTAGAAGGGAATCAACTTGGTTTGACTCAGAATGGTTGGTTTCATTCGTCAAAATATAAATTACTGTGTATTATGAGTGGTACAGCCGCATGCCAAGCTATCCTGGCATTTCCAGCTGTCTACTTACAAGGAGATGGACCTGCAGAATTTCATCTTGAGGATCCGGAGTTGTTTGCAGCCCATCTGAAGGTCCTGAAGGACCTGGTCTGTAAGCAGGATACAGCCAGAGATATCCAAAATGTGCAGATAATGGCACTTGGCAGCTAATATCTCCAGCCCTGCATCGGTAATCTGAACACACAGCCAAAACAAGGAGCAGTTACTGAACAGCTCTATCCCAGAGGGGGCAGTATCTTAACTTAGGGTGCTGTAGTGAAATATGAGTAGGTGGCTCAAACATCAAGCACTTCTTTCTTCCAGTTCTGAAGCCTAGGCAATCCAAGATGGCTGCACATTTGGTGTCTGGTGAGGTACAGGCCTGCAGATATCTGCCTCGTGTCACAGTCTTAATGGCAGAGAGAACTGCAGGCTCTGCTGCTGCTTCTTAAGACACAACCTTTTAATAGCACCTTCCCTTCCGTGACCTCTTCTAAACTTACCTCCCAAAGGCCCCACTTCATGACACTGTTACATGACAGAGTTTGAGCATAGGTGGCCAGCGGCAGGGCGAGAGGCAAGTATTCTGGGCAAACAAATCAAGGGCCTGGTAGAGTTTCTTTCGTTGAGTTTGTTCACTGCTGAGCCAAGTTTGTGGTTAAGACTTCCAAATAAGATCAAGAGAGTAAAATACCTGCCTCAAGTGACACCAAGAGGATTTGTGGGGTTTGGTTTGTTTTGTTTTGTTTTTATTCTTTACTTAAGCATCTTCGGGTATAGATGACGAATTGTCTTTAGTAATTAGTACCCGTTGCGTCACCATGAGGAACTCAGGGAATGCTACAGCAGTGCGGCTGTTGGTGTTCGACATCCTCTGTGAAGCTTGACCAGTTTGGAGAAGTATGTTTAAAAACGTTGTATGTCACAGAACTACAAATGTATATCCCCTGAAGTTATCTCCATTCAGGAGCAGGTTACCACGAGAAAGGTCTGGGCATCTCCAATGGGTCATCTTACAAGAAATGGGTGCCCCAGTTCTGGAAGGAGAGCAGTAGGTGAGAGGCAGGAGTGAGCAGAAGCCCCAGACAGTGCGAGTCCCACCCACACAAGTCCTGGGCAGCCACCATCCAGATCTATCCAGCTGTCCTGCAGAGTTAATTCAACTCCATTTCTAGTTTATTTCACCGGCCCGGGGTCTAGCTTTTGATTTATGGCTGAACTGAAACTCACAGCAAAGTGAGGCAGATTACTCTCCCCGAAGGAATGTTTCCAACTGGATTTAATTTCCTACTTTATATATATGTGAACATTAAAAAAAAAAAACATACACTGTGAGGCTTAGCTCATTGTTTTTAACATAAAGTTAAGAGAATTATGCAGCAAAGCCCTTTGGTTTGAAATGTATACTTTTGTGTATGGGAAAATAGGTGTTGTCATTGTCTAGGCATTCCCTGTCTCCAGAACATGCTTGGACAAGGCTCAGCATTGTGACTGGTTCTCACAAAACTTCCTCAGACATCCCTGCCTTGCTCTATGAGAATCTGAGGATCCGGTGTCACTGAGAAAGGAATCCTTTGGCCTTATAGAAGGACAATGAGGTGATGGAACCCTTAAGACAGGTGGAGCTGGGAGTGGGTGGGTTGGACACAGACCTGAAAAGGAGCCCTCATCTGTAGCTTTAGTTTGGATGCTCCAGTGTGTTCAATAGGGAGGTGATATCTAGGGAGAGTGGGGAGAGGTATGACTCAGGGGCTAGAAAGCCCCTAGAAAGCCTGTCCCCATCTTCCATCTGCCTTGTGCTCTAGCCAGAGTAGTTCCAGTGAGCTGTGTAAGCGAGAGGCTCTGTGAGCTTTCTTGGTGAACATACAGAGTCAGGTGGCCACTGCAGCTGACATGTGAGCTTCTGGACATAGCTCACTTCCTGAACCACATGTCATGGACCAGAAAAAACACCCAGCTTCCTTTGTTATAACCAAATACATTATTAAAAGAAAGCTTGTAGCTAGCCATGGTAATATACACCCATAACCCAGCACTTGGAAAGTAGGAGAATGGCATCTGGTTCAGGGTCAGCCTGGTCTACTGATAAGTTCCAGGCTAGCCTGGGCTAAGTATAAGACCCTTCTCAAAAAAAAAAAAAAAAAAAAAAAAAAAAAAAAAAAAAAAAAAAAAAAGGTTTTTCCTGTAAACTTTCTGGCTTTAGTTTGTTCTGGCTTACCACAGCTTTTTCCCTCCTGCCTCCTCCTATTTATCTGATATATTAGTGTGGAAGATTCAGGAGGTTCCAGAATCACTCTCAGCCCATACAAGCCAACAGTAAAGCAGCTGAATTCATAGCCTAGCAAGGGTGCAGAGCCCTGAAAACTGAGATGACACTGTCCAAATAAAAGCCAGTGGGTGTGCGTAGAAGAACAAAGCTTGCAATTCCTGATCATGTTTGAAGGTTTATATTTTCTTCCTTCTGCATATTTTGCCAGCTCCAAGTTCTCCCTGATAAAATGTTTGGATTTCTAACCTTCTGTTCAAAGACTTCCTTGCTGATCTGGTAATGCTTGCCTGACCATTCCTGGTTATCAGCGGAGGACTAGACTCTGAGAGGAAGCCAAATGTGGGCCTCTCTACCTTTTGAGTGAAGGGTGACCTAGGAGGGTGTGTTAGGAATGTTCTCCTGTCAGAAGTTTTCAATCTTACATCCTGGGCTCTCAAGGTCTCTAGATAAGAGGCCTCTACTCTCTTGCCTAAAGGAGAGTTCTGGCAGCCACATTCTGCATGCTGAGTAAGAAAAAAAAAGTGATAATATCCAGAATATATAAAGAACTCAAGAAGTTAAACAGCAACAAACCAAGTAATCCAATTTAAAAAATGGGGTACAGAGCTAAACAGAGAATGCTCAATAGAGAAATAGCGAATGGCAGAGAAATGTTTAACATCCTTAGTCATCAGGGAGATGCAAATCAAGATGACTCTGAGATTTCACCTTATACCCATCAGAATTGCTAAGATGAAAAACTCAAGTGACAACACATGCTGGAGAGGTTGTGGAGAAAAGGGAACCCTCCTCCACTGCTGGTGGGAACGTAAACTTATACAACCACTTTGGAAATCAATCTGGTGCTTTCTCAGACAATTAGGAATAGTGCTTCCTCAAGATCCAGCCATACCACTCATAGCCATATATCCAAAAGAGGCTCAAGTATACAAGGACATTTGCTCAACCATGTCTGTAGCAGCTTTATTTGTAATAGCCAGAATCTAGAAACAACCCAGGTGTCCCTCAACTGAGGAATGGATACAGAAATTGTGCTAATTTACACAATGGAATCTACTCAGCAATTAAAAACAAAGAAATCATGAAATTTGCAGGCAAGTGGTGGGAACTAGAAAAGATCATGAGATATCCCAGAAGCAGAAAGACACACATGGTATATACTCACTTATAAGTGGATACTAGACATATGCTATAGAATAAACATATTAAAATCTGTACACCTAAAGAAGCTAAGCAAGGAGGACCCAGTCCTTCTTCATCAAACCTCATTCAGAAAGGCAAATGGGATGGACATGGGAAGAGGGAGAAAGCAGGAAACAGGACAGGAGCCTACCACAGAGGGCCTCTGAAAGACTCTACCCAGCCGGGTAGCATCAAAGCAGATGCTGAGACTCATAGCCAAACTTTGGGCAGAGTGCAGGGAATCTTATGAAAGAAGAGGGAGATAGAAAGACCTGGAGCTCCACAAGGAGAGGAAAAGAACTAAAAAAAAATCTGGGCACAGGGTTTTTTTCTGAGACTGATACTTCAACCAAGAACCATTCATGGAGATAACCTAGAATCCCTGCTCAGATGTAGCCCATGGTAGCTCAGTGTCCAAGTGGGTACTCTAGCAAGATGAACAGGGGCTGTCTCTGACCTGAACTCAGTGGCTGGCTCTTTGATTATCTCCCCCCTTAATGGGGGAGCAGCCTTAACAGGCCACACAGGAAGACAATGCAGCCACTCCTAATGAGACCTGATAGGCTAAAGTCAGAGGGAAGGGGAGAAGGACCTCCTCTATCAGTGGGCTGGGGGAGGGGCATGGGAGGAGATGAGGGAGGAGAAGGGCATGGTTTTCAAGATGGGAAATGCTGAATTCTGAGGGACCCAGTGCCTAGAGGGCGAGGTTGTTGGTAGATATCCCATGGTGACAAGATGACACTCCCTCCTCACTGCAAAGGCTGCCTTGTCTGGAACTCCAGAGCTGTCAGGGTTGAGAAGGCTGGATTGAGAACGCAGATGTCCAGGCTTCTGCTTTCGGGGGGAGCTGCCCAGAGGCATGGAGCTGAGATCTGTGGTCCCTCTGATCCTCTGGAGTGCTTAACTAGGACCTTAGTCCCCTCCTGACAGTTCCACAAGTGCAGGGATCAGGTGTTCTCGACTCTCAGAGCTGGCTTGGGCATCTAAATTTGTTCACCTATTTCCAAGTTCCCACAGTTTCCTTTCCTGTTTTTCTTATCCAAATTGGGCCCTGACTGTTGAGCTGCCACTGTGACAGAGTTTCAAGAGGAATTGTATATATTATTGATCTGCCATATTAACCCAGACTCGGGGTTTCTATAAGTCAAAAGAAAGTAGGTTATAATGTACTTTGAAAATATTGTTCCATCCTTTAAAACTACAACATACAAAGCTTCTCCATTTCTGACCTTTGTGTATGCAGAGAAAACATTCTGTTAAGTGCCAGCAATTTGTAAGGTGATGCTGTTTCAGTGGCTGTTTTACTTTTCCCTGTAAGCATTTATATAGTCAAGGTTTACAATGAGCATTCTTTCTTTTATGCCTAAGTGTCAGGAAAGTTGTCAAACATTCAAAATGAAGACCAAAGATGAATAAATGACTTTTCAATGGGGCATTGTCTAACTGCTCCCCTGAGGAAATGCCTAGAGAGTTAAACCTTCACTTCACAAGTTGTTTATTCTTTATTAAGGCCCAAAGTCAGTGAGTCAGTGAAGTTGTATGTTAAAACTTAGCTTTTTTTTTTTTTTTTTTTTTTTTTTTGTCCAGGAAACATGCAAACTATTCCTGTCTGGTAGAAACTCTAACCCAAGATACTGGCTGCACTGCCCTCTAGGATTTCAACCAATTTTAGATCTAACCTGAGACCCATAATCTAACATTCTTCCCTCTGTTCCTACCCAGTTCTTTCTAATGCTCTATGCCATGGCTTTATTGTTTTGCTGGTTCTCTCATTTTGAATTAGATGAATTATTTCTGGCACATACTTACACTTGCATAAAATGCTGGGCGTGATGGTGCTCACCTTTAATCCCAGCGCAGCAGGCAGAGGCAGGAGGGCCTCTGAGCTTGAGGCCATTCTGGTACTCAGGGTGAGTTTCAGATAGCCAGGGCTACAAAGAGAAACACTGTCTTGAAAAACAAAAACCCAAAACCTTACATTTGCATGATGACAATATTTTGAATGGGTATAAATTCTACTTTGGCACAAAGAAAATGGCAGACACAAAGGCAGTTCTAGGCCACGTGGAGCCCCTGACTGCTGCCCTGCCTGGATCCCCTCAGCACTACCCTTTGACTTGCTCCAGCTGCCAGGCATACCTTTGGGCATCCTGTGACGTTGAGAGACGTGATTCGAGTACAGAAAATGGCTATTGTTCTTATGGTCTCATCTGTCAGTTGGGTGCAGAAGGAGACATCCAGGTGTTCCAAGCACATCGAGATTTTGCAGTATGTCTGGAAGAGATTCCAAGGGCAAAGGTTTGTGGGATTTTTTTTTTTGAGGGGGTGTTGTTTTCCCCTTTAAAGGTTTTGTTGTTGTTTGTTCATTTTGTTCATTTGTCTCTGTTTTCCCTTAGTCTTTGTCCAATACTGTTTTCATCTGAAACCACCTTTCCTAGAGCAGTTTATTTAGTGTGCATTTGGGTCCCTTAAATACAGAATTTTCCCCCCATAAACAAAACAAACACCAACAAAACATTGCATCCAAAATAAGCATAGCAAAAGATACACGTCAAATTAACAGTTTATTAATACTCAAACTCCTGCTGGCGAACTCCAGTTTTTCTGAAGTCACCGTGGATGAAATTTGATTGGCATATTTTAATAGGGTTATATTCATCCAAATAAGTGGAGAAAGGGGATGGCAAACATGTCAGAGGTGACAGAGGAAAGAGCACTTCCCTTGAGTTTTACTCTCTTTCCATCATGTACAACCTCTGAAATTTTAACACATAATTTAGCCTTTTGGAGCCTCAGTTTCCTCTTCTAATTAGGGCAAATAATACCAACATTGTAGAATTATGTGGAAATGCTAGAGCGATAATTTGTCACAGAGATATTTGTACATATATCCATTTCCTGTTTTCCTGGTCACACTAGCAAGGCAATGAGACCAGCCTAGATGGTCATCGCCAGATAGATGGATAATGAAAGCATGGTACATAGACACAGTGGAATTTTGAGGAAAACTGACATCAGGAAAATAGATGAAGCTGGGAGGTATTATCCTGAGCAGGATAACCCAGAGTTCAAAGAACAAAACCCACACATATCTTATCTATGGACACTATCTTATAATGTCTGTCTGTATATAAATAAGTAGAAGTCACATGAAAGGAGAAAGAAGGTTATGGAGTGGAGTAGGGGGTAGAAGGACACGAGGAGGAGGAGGGAGAAGAGAATCAACACAAATTTTCCTTAAAAGTCCTGTACTGAAACCTAATAGTGTATATGCTAATATACTACTTTAGAAAGACTTTATAGCTCAGTGGATACTTTATAAGAACAAAATTGGGGTTGGGGCAGGGCTGGAGAGAAGGCTCAGCAGTTAACAGTACACAAGGCTAGAGTTTGGTTCCCAGGACCCAGGTCAAGCAGTTCCTCGTGAACTCCAGCTCCAGGGGATCTAATGCACACACACACATACACACACACACACTGGATGGGTGGAACAAAAAATTTTTTAAAAGTAGTAAATCATGTCAAGTAGAAATCCGTTGTCATGACTAATTCAAAGCAATACAAGAGAAGTCCCCTCCACACCACTGGGACCTTGGCAACCATCAGTCACTCCCATTAATTTTGAGTATTCTATCTGGGGACTCTCCTGGGTTCCTGGTCAGATGGCTCTGACTTATATGAAAACAGACTCTCACTGGGCTACATGCCAATTGGAAGGACTTGAGTGTCAGGCCAGTTCAGGGCCACCAGGCTGACTCTAACGTGAGTGTGCCTCTCTCCCTCTGCTTCCGCCATTTGCTTTTGCGTTAATGGTGAGAAAGAAATACTACAGTGTGGACAGGGGGAGATTTACAGGAGATACAGTCTAGTAAGGCACCCAGGGCCAGGACTCAGGGGGCCAGGAGCCTCGCCCTGCTGTTGCACGGACCTGTGTGTGAGGTGGTTGGTGACAGGTCCCACCCTAAAAGATGGTTACACAGATTATATGAACATCTGTGTGTATGGACATATGATAGGGTGCTTCTTAAAGCTGATTACCTATAAAGTCTCATACTGCATTCAGTATTACCTGAGAGATACCATACAAGAATTGCTAGTGTGTGGCACAGAGCAAGTACCTCAGTGCTTGCTTTGGCCACACCTGTACTAAAAGTGGAAACACACAGACAAGAACAGCTTGATCTAGAGGCAAGGCTGGCCTGCAAAGGGTTTTTAAAATTTTGACTTAGGAGGAAACAAGGTCAGCTGATGATCACTATAGTTAATGTTAATGTCACTGTATTAGTTGCCTTTTTTCCCTCCTGGATTAAACACTGAACAAAGCCAACTGGGGGGGGGAGGGGGAGGGTATGTGTCTCCTTACAACTTCCAGATCACAGTCCATCCCTAGAGAAAGGCTGCTTACTGGCTTGCTCTCCACGGCTTCTTCCGCCTGCTTTCTTCTGTGGCCCAGGACCAGCTGCCCAGGGGTGGCACCGCACACACTGGGATGGACCTTCCCACACCCATCATTCACTGAGAGAACACTCCACAGACTTGGCCCATAAGCCAAGCTGATGAAGACATTTTCAGCTGAAGTTCCCTCTCCCCGAATGATCCAAGCTCATGTGATGCTGACAAAAAAAAACTAGCCCTCACAGTCTTGAACCTGAAAATAACACGGAGCTTTGAAAACCTCTCGCCACAAGATTAAGGATGTGAGAGGATGTGTACGAATGAGCTTGATGTACACACATCCTTGTACTGTGATGTACTGCAGTTTTTGACAGTTGAAACTTCTTTAAAGCCGTTGAAGAAGACTAAATGCTGGCTGATGGTAGTGTGTGTGTGTGTGTGTGTGTGTGTGTGTGTGTGTGTGTGTGTGTGACACCAATGCTCGCTCACAGAGAGAAAGCAGTCTTGGCAGTTATCTTTTTTCTGACCGCAGCAGACAGCAGGGACTGCTCTGAGCTCATGCAGAACTTGGATTTTCCACAGGGTCCAGCGCTTACTGTCCTTGACTCACCCTCTGACTAACTTTACATGGAGATCTGTCGTGTCTGGAGCTAAGTGATGCCAGAAATTGGAAGGGGACACCGTCCAGGGATGGGGGTGGGGAGGGTCACTGTCATTGGAGATGAATCAGCACAGGGACATACCCAGGGTGGTACAGAGGGAACCCAGCGTTAACTGGAACCAGTGGCTTTGTTTCTGCTCACTTGCCAATGAGAACGCCGGGAGTCTCCTGGGGTCCTCTCTGGAACTGTGCTAGTTTTTATCAGCCTTCCTAAGCTATCACATTTAGAACAACACAGTCTCCTTAAATCCTGGGATGTGAAACGGTCCTATGTGAGTTGTCTTCCAGAAAATCAAGTCTGTTTTAATGATACAAGAATTTGGATGTTTCAAGGTGTAGGGTAGTACTGTCCCTCTTAGAGAATGAGAGAGGAAGAGCCAGAGACAGATCACAGCAAGAACAATATTGAAACTGCGAGGGGCCAATGGGATGATTCGGTGGTGGTTGTGCAGGCCTGATTACCAGTGTTCAACACCCAGAACCACAGTGGAAAGACAGAACAGATCCTGAAAATTGTCCTCTGACCTCCACACACATGCATAGCACAACCACCTACAAAAACACACAGGGAGTAATAATAATTAATAAGAAATTTAGAACTATAAGAATAATTCCTTGAGATCTGGCTAGCTTTAAAGGGAGCCACAAAGCATCTCTTCAGCCCCAAATGCCAGCGTCTTTGGACTCCTTGAATCAGTTCCCTATTTTGCCTTTATCTTTCGAAGGCTCCTCTAGTCTTTGAAAGTGAAATTTCTGCAGGTTTTAAAATTTAGCAGCGATTTAGAAGTCTCTGCTACATCCACAGCCACATTTGCAGACATGGAAAACCCGAGGCAAAGAGATTGGTGCAAGATTTATGCTAAAGTGGTCGCACAGTTCATCCTTTCCTTCAGAGCCGTGTAAGTCACCCTGCGGCCATAAGTCTGCATAAGGCTCGCTTGTCGAAACACAGACAAGAAATCCCCTCTTCTCCTCCAGAGACCACTGCCGTATGCTCTGCTGGCTCCAGAGCTGCCAGTCACCCACATGTCAGTCCTACTGGTTTCTTTTTTCTTGGAAAATGCTACACGGAGCTTCTTCCAAGCCTGTCTCTCACAGTTAAAATGGAAAGAAAAGGAAGACACAATCAAGTTTGGCTCCTTTCCAGCTTATCGTCCCATCCCTCTGTAAATTAACATTTTTACAGAAAATCTCCACGTCACTTCACTAAAGGGTCCCATGTGCCTTCTGCGCTGAGTCACAGTGTATGGGGGGTTTAATGGCCACATTCCTAAACTGGGTATGTAGCCGAAATGGAGGTTCACTCATTTGTTGGTTGTTAAACTAGTGTTCATTTGCCCAAATCCTGATTAATCCACCTTAACAGGTGGCAGCTCCGTGTCCAAACAATCCTCCCTTTGTTGTCCAGGGTCCACTGTCTTTTGACAGTGAGCCTCATTAAGGCCCCATCAGTTGCACTACAAAGTTGGAATTTCTTTTGTTCTGTTTTATTTTTTTCTCTGTTGATAATTCTGGAAAAACACTGTGCACTCAGAAACAAACTTCTGTAATGAAGACTAGTTGGGCTGGCTCAAAGTAAAGGGTACAGTTCCCACAATTACAAGTGATGAAGACAGAACTTCCATTGCCTGGGCCTCATGAGACGTGGAGGTACATTTCCTCAAAGGTGGCCGCCACCCTGCCAGTCCTCAGAGCAGATGGGGGTGGTCCTGGCTAGGTCACTCACTCTGCAGAGCCTGGATCCCTGTCCTTGTGAGGATGGTCCTGCTTTCCCACTCTTCTGGGAAGCCAGGCCTAGTTAGGTAAGACCAGGCTCAGAAGAGCACCCTGCTTTTCAACATGAAAAGGACCTATGGAAGGGAAGGGGGCAAAGCCAGGCTTAAAGCAAGTATTCCCAAAGAGAGTTCCATGTTTCGTGTTGCAGTTTCTTTTTTTTTTCTTCCCCCTCAGCCTCAAGCTCCTGGAATAAAGACTCATTAACTCAAAATATGTTTACAAATACCTGGGCTGTATAGCTAGGCTCTTCTCTGAGTAGCTCCTAACTTAAAAATAACCCATTTATACTAATCTACCTTCTGCCATACAGCTACTTACCTCTGCTCAGGTACTATGTGTCTGTCATCCTCACATCTTGCTAGGTGACCCTCCTGAGACTGGCTCTATCCTAGAATCCTTTCTGCCTACCAGATGTCCCAGCTCCTACTTCCTGCCTCAACTA